GAGACTGACTGCAGGGCCAGAATTCATGGAACTGTTTTCGGCTACTTTGCTCGTGCAGTCGGTCAAAACTTCTAAGTCCCATATCTCCCGAACGGCTGAACCGAATGGACTTATTTTTTCATATGTTGGTCCCCCAGAGCTATCTGGGGATACCAAATTTATGTCTGTACCCCAAGTCCTTGGGGTACATCCAGACTTTGGGGAAATTATGTTCCATTTTAATTATGTTAAATGGTTATCTGAGGGGAGGAGATGTACAGTATGTATATTGTTGTGATTTGTTGTACAGTTAATTATATGGGAGGCTCCTTTGCATGGGCAGAATCCCATAAAAAGAGAATGCCTGTCAATAAATCCTTAGTTCATCTTTGTACCCTTCTTCTGACTACGTATGCTGTTTGGGAGTTCGTGTGTTTTACTGAGGGAATTATCCAGGGACACTATTGGAATTACACTGGGATTCGTCTACCATAACTACCGAACGGAGGGCTATATTCACTGGGCTCTGGCGGTTCGGAAGGAAACTACCGATTGAGGTTTAAATGTACTTGGTTTCCTTACAACTGGTGGCAAGTGGCGGGATTCGAATCCCGAACGACGTTTTAAACAAGCAAAGGAATGAATGGCTCAGCAGTACCAACAGCTTAAGAGAACCACGCTAAAGGATTTACTGGAAGCTCGAGGCGTAATAGCAAGCAACAAAACAAAAGCCACGTTAATTGCAGAGCTGTTACAGAGTGACAGAACCAGCACTACAGAAATGGAGCGTGAGGAAGAAACTGAAATGCAGAAAGACATCAGATGGATGCTCAGTTTATTGGGACCTAACCCAGCAACAGAGGCGGTTCTGCAGGTCATGGCACAAGCCAGGCAATCGCAGAAGGAGCGAGATGACCGTGACAGACCGCTGCAGGGGGATTTTCTGCACTCCCCGGGAAGTACAAATGACCTGCCAAAGAAGGTAAATTATGCTGCATTTAAAAACTTTAATGACAAGGAAATGGAGATTGATAGTTATCTGCAGGACTTTGAAAGGCAATGTGCACTGGAGGGATTAGACTCCACCAAATGGGCTGCAGTACTGAGCAGCAAGTTGTCAGGCAGAGCATCAGAAGCGGCACGAGCAGTACCTGATGAGGATATTCATAATTATGGTTAAAAAAAAAGAGATTTTGTTGGCTAGATATGCAGTTACCCCTGAGGCATACAGGAAGAAATTCAGGGAACTGAGGAAAACAGGGAGGGATACCCATACTCAATGGGCATTCCGGCTACACAGGGCAGCCCGAAATTGGATGAAGGGCTGCCAAGCAACCACTCTGGACGATGCCTTACAACTCCTCCTATTAGAACAATTTTTTAACCATACAGCAGATGACATCAAGGACTGGGTGAAAGACAGGAAGCCTAAAACTGTGGAGGAGGCAGCAAGACTGGCAGATGAATATCAGGATAACCGGAGGCGAGAACAAGGGGTGAGCCGACCTGCCTTTAACCCCTTAAGGACACATGACATGTGTGACATGTCATGATTTCCTTTTATTCCAGAAGTTTGGTCCTTAAGGGGTTAAACAGCCATATTCAGCCCCAACAACGGCTGCACCACCTAGAGCCCCCCTGAGTAATCTGCCGCACAGCTCAGCAGCAGCACCTTGACAACCTGCAGTGTGTCACTACTGCAAACAGCCGGGACACTATAAAAACCAGTGCCCACGTTTAAACCGGGGAAGCTGGGAAAGGCCACCACCACAGTCACAACCCAGGGCCGCTGCTCATTGTGTACAGCAGGAGAGTACATCATGGTTACCTACCAACGAGGAACAATGGAGTGTGTTGCACGAAGTCAACCCTGTGCAAGCAGGAGACGACAACCGGGACCACCACCGTCAGTGGATTA